CTTTGTCCACTAGGGAGCGATCTCAGTTTTTTTTTTACACAGAATCTTTTTACCACCTGCACCATTGTGATGCAAATAGACATATTATAATGTCAGTTTTTTGTCTATTTCCGATCGGCATTCCTTAAAATACTAAGTCAGAAATAAACATAAAATTATAAGATTACCAAAGCTATATTTTCCAGGTTCTTTGCAGGAATTTTACTCTCCTATATAAAAAAAACAAAACACTTTAATCTAATTGTACCGAAACAACAATTATAAAGTGGCATGCAATGACGTCATTGATCTCACAGCATGGACCTGAAGTTATATAAGACTTCAGATAAGGACGTGCAGTTTGTCCAGTACTGCCGGGCATTAAGTTCAAAGCCAGGCTGCTAATTGTGAGGTGAAACTGTGCGATTAACCTACAATTAATCTGAGAAGTAAAGGTTCATACTGTAGGTTTGAAATTACTTTTGAAACAAAACAAAGCTCTGAGGAAAACCCTAAATTGTAATTCTGCAACACATTCATGTTTTGGCATGAATCTGTGTGAGCGTTAACTCGCTCCTTGTTAATGTTAAGAAACTGAACTCACAGTTTAAACAGCATTTGAGTGATATGAATATGATGTGTGTAGGTGCTGGACATTGGGGACAGCCTCTCCATCCCAGATGAGTTCACAGAGGAGGAGAAGACGACCGGCATGTGGTGGAAGCAGCTGTCAGCGGGGGCCATGGCCGGAGCCGTGTCCCGCACAGGAACCGCCCCGCTGGACAGGATGAAGGTGTTCATGCAGGTGGGTCAAACGTTTTTTCTGTCATGTAAAATGAATATATGTTTATTTATACATTTATTTTAATATATTTCAAAACCATATTTACTCAACAGTTGTAATGGGTGTATATATGCTGAGCTATCATATTATGATCAAATTGAAAATAATCTAAACAGTGAGAAAAGGGATAATTCATAATTCCCCTAATTTAGGGGGTTCAACTGTTTGTAATTGTTTTTGATGTAGCCTAAAGTGTAAAACCTTTAACACTGCATACTGTTAATGTACTTACTTTTGAAAGTGGTGACCTACAGTGCAATGTGTGTTGTGCAATGTACAGGTGCATTCTACCAAGAGCAACAAAATCAGCCTGGTTGGTGGTTTTAAGCAAATGTTAAAAGAAGGAGGCGTGGCGTCTCTGTGGAGAGGAAACGGTATCAACGTACTGAAGATTGCCCCCGAGACGGCCATTAAGTTTATGGCCTATGAGAAGGTAAACACAAACTGAACACAATACCTTCGGCAGGATGTCGCTGTAGATGTAACTTTTGAATGTCAAAGATCCTTATATTCGTGTATGTGGCATTGTATAAAGACTCCCTCAGAAGCAATTTCAGCGAAAGTGTATTACTTCTGACAATAACAAGCATCTGTATTCATTGAGTTTTCATGCATCACTCGTCATTAGTTCAAGAAGATGCTGTCCAGTGAACCAGGAAAGGTCAAGACCCATGAGAGGTTCATGGCTGGATCGCTGGCTGGAGCCTCAGCACAGACTGTCATTTACCCCATGGAGGTAACACCTGTGTTCACTCTTTGTTTCATATCAGAGTGTTAATAGTTAGATACAACTTATTTTTTAATCCCTTTGATGATAATAGTTATTTATTTTGTTAGGTCTAACTTGTCCTCTGAGCATCATTTTCATCCTGAAGTCCTGCATTTTTCATTCTCCTGAAAATAACGACCAAAGAAAATAAAGATAATGCAGTTTCCTTCCTTTTTTGTAAAAAACATAATGTTTCAAAATATAATTAATAAATTGTTCAGCGACAATCAAACTGAAAGCTTCCGCTCCTATTGTTAGCCTTGGCTGCTACAAAGCGTTAATAGCAGTGTTGTCATGTAAACACGGCTTGACTGATCATTTTCGTCCCTGCAGGTGATGAAAACCCGCCTGACCCTGAGGAAGACCGGACAGTACACAGGAATGTTGGACTGTGCCAAGAAGATCCTGAGGAAGGAGGGAGTGAAGGCCTTTTACAAGGGCTATGTTCCCAATCTTATAGGTATCATCCCCTACGCTGGCATTGATCTGGCAGTCTACGAGGTTCGTGGAAAATGAAGATACAAAGCTCTTCTTACAACATCATCTGTCATTAAAAGCACTTTCACTTGTTTTATAGATGTCCTTTTTTGGATTTTGTGAAAATAACAATAGTCCTTTCTTAAACACAAACACTTCCTTATCCCACCAGAGCTTGAAGAACTTCTGGTTGGCCCGCTACGCCAAAGATTCAGCCAACCCCGGCATCCTGGTGCTGCTCGGCTGCGGGACCTTATCCAGCACGTGTGGCCAGCTGGCCAGCTACCCCCTGGCTCTGATCCGCACCAGGATGCAGGCACAAGGTAAAGAAAACCAAATCCCATTCAAAATTCTGTCAAATGTTTCTTTATTCGCTACTGGTATTTACCAAGTCTTCCCGTGATCTTACCCAGAAATGATTTCAATGATTGCACAGTTGTTGGATTATTTTCAACACAAATTAAAACAATACATAAATGATTTGAGCAGTACATGTTGTTTTATTGGTAGAGAAAAAGCACTGCACTACTTTAGCTAAAGTAAAGATTGGGTATATTAACTAAATATGTCAAAGCAGCCTGCATTCATATATTTTAATTAGCTATGGATTACATGGCTATTTGTATGTGAAGTTTACTTCCTTGCATCTTTACAGTTGTGGGTTACTCGCATCACTTTCATATTGCCCTTTTCCAGTTCTTAGCAAGAAGCTAAAATAAACAAAAAGCCAGATATGTCCCTTCTGCTGTAATTAATGGAGGCTAAAAACCCTGGCATAGTGAACATTATAATTGCATTCATCAAGTGGACACAAACACAACTCTGAATATTTGCTTATGCTGCTTCGTATATATATTGGACGTCTAATGTTAACTAAAAGGTTTGCCATGTCAACTTTATAGGGTGTTAATAAAAATGTATGTCAATGACAGTTTTTTCTGCTGCCCACAAGTGGTCAAAACTAGTTATCGCAGCTTAATCCAAGGGTTCTTTACTTTCTACGAATGGCGTTTGGCACAGCAAACCTTATCACACACGATATGGGTTCTATGGTGGCTGATAGTAATGAAATGGGCGTAAAGTTAATGGAAGAAAAACATCAGCATTACCTGTGTGGATACTCAAGGTCAAATAAGTGCTTCATGGGAAGGTGCATACACTTCACACTCTTTTACCAAAATCCAGCTTTAATTTTTTTGTGGTGTTTCACATTTCTTACATTTATGTATTTCCTCAGCTTCTCTTGAGGGCTCAGAGCAGATGCCCATGAACCTGATGGTGAAGAAGATTCTGCAAAAGGAAGGCTTCTTTGGACTTTACCGTGGCATCCTGCCTAATTTCATGAAAGTCATACCAGCAGTCAGCATCAGCTACGTGGTGTATGAGCACATGAAGTCTAGCCTAGGTATTCAAAAGTAGGCAGCAGAGTAACGTGTGTCTATGTGTGTCCTTATAAGTGTAAGAAGATTTGCAACATTTTTTTTTAAATGTCAGATCCCGTCCATTTGAACAGATTAGGGAATCTTGTCATGTTAAGAATGTGTTTACCTGTAGGTCACCAAAGTCTCAAACTGCTGCAAGTGGAGCCGTTGTAGAAGTTTTTAAGTGATGCTGGACTTTGGCAAAACTGTTAAGCCATTCAAAAAGAAAACATAGTTTACAAACTCCTGCAGTCATTGGTCATTGGTTTCCCTAATATGTTACCGAAAGGCACACTTGCTCATTTGGGTTAACACTTTTATTTCTATCTTTATCAAAGGTAGTTAAAAATTGGCGTATTTCACTTGTTAAGACACTTTATATAGTTTCCCAAAATAGGGTGTGAGTGGGGAGTTTTTTTACTAAGAATCTGAGGGGAACTTTTGAAGTGCAATACTGTACACTAGGATGATTCACAGGCTCGTATGTTTGATATTGGTATGTCATTTTGAGGGAAATGTTGAGAGGGAATGTAATGTGCCTTAAGTGCTTTTTCTCAGATATCTGTGGACCTCCCCCCCCTTCATTTTTGCCTTGCCTTTCTTTTCAAATTTGGTTCATTAGATGCTGGTGTTTACATGAATAAAGACATTTGAATATAAAAACTAAACGTGTCGTCAGTCTTCTATAAAATGTATTGTAATGATTACACTTGATGTTAATCATATATTTATGGCACGACATATTGAGGCAAGCGTAGTGGTGATATCAAAACATATTAAGTCTGATAACTTGTATTGTAAACCCAGATGTACTCAAGGCTGGTGTGTAGTGAGTCTGACCCCTGAGGCTTTAAGTACAGATTACTCAACTAGGTAATAGCATTTTCCCAGTGATGTCAATACTCCTGACTTTAGCCGTCTGATCCTGGCAACGTAAAAGGACACAGTAACAGCAGCTCAGCTGATTTGTAGCATTGCTCTAATGAAGTGTGACTTTTTTCTTATCATAAAAAAAGATCTTTGCCTGTTCCAGAAAATTGACCATTTTAAGGGGTCAGTTTTGGTTCTCACTTTTTAGACTATAAAATGCTATAAGGAGCAACAAAAAGTACAAATACCATCATATTTCGGATGACGAAAGTGCATTTATTTAACGTTCATCAACCTTCAACATTTTTTTTTCTTCAGTTATTTTATTGTGTGGCATTTACTGATTTGGGGCGACTCTTAGTAGTAGTTTCAAAATACAAAAACGTATTTAATCTGAATTATTTGAAACATTGTACACTAACCAATAACGTCTACACAGAGGGTACGTCTAGATAATGTTCTGCTTTTACAGAAGCCAGTTTAGCAGGATCTATAAAAAACACAATTGTGGTATCTGAAGGCCTGAGATTAGGACAGAAAAACTCCAATATCAAGGAAGAGAAATATGACCACCAAATTCAGAACATGGTGGCCAAATAGTTTCTATATTTGCATACTATTTAATCTGAGAATAGTTTTTTTTCTGGGTATGTTCCATGAATTAGAATTGTGCCCAGAAGAGAAAAACATGCCACGATGGTCAGGACAGCGCGCAGGGCTTTGAACCAGCTGGGGTAAGTGGGCAGCAGAGCCAGATCATAATGCAGCGCTATTCCTAGCCCCATGATAGCCATGGTGGCTGCAGGAATAATGCTGTCGCTCATCATCATGGACACACAGGCTAACAGCGAGGGAACCACACTGTTGGACAGATTTATCCAGTCAGGTTTGGCTGGGCTACTCTCAGGAAGAGCGAATCCCCAGCGAGCCCCGCCCACGAAGGAAAGGATGGAGGCGCCATAAGCTAACTGAGCATAAGCCAACTCTGGATAGTAGTTCTCAGTCACAGCCATGAGCAGAGTGGGCGCGACAAAGGGGAGAAGCCCTGCAAATCCAAGGTATAAGGCAGGTTTGGGACCCTTCCACAAGTGCTTCATGTCATAGCGCAGCAGATCCAACTCTCTGGGAGGTTCTGGGAGCTGGGGGCGCTTCTTCAGCCTCACTGCAGAGGAGTGGAAATGCTGGTTCCTCACAAGAGATGGAGCTGCATGTGTCTGGGTCCTTTGGAAGAACTCAATCCTCCTGGAGCTGAGGACAGAGGAAGATGTTGCTCCTCTGTCGTCTCTTGCTGTTGAGGCCCAGCAGGTCTGCAGGGAGCTGGATCCACCACCAGAGGCTCTGGGGAGGACTGATGTCCAGCATCTCTGTGCAGGACCTGCCCAATGCAAAACCTAAAGATAAGACATTTATGTTAAGATTACATACAATTCACCTATAATGATACATTAAATAAACATGAGCAAACAAGCTTTTGAAAATCATAAATGGTTTCTTACCTGCTTGGCTGAAAAGGTGCTTCTTTTAAATATAACAGAGAGCATCTGATGTAAAAAGTAAACAGAGATTTGGTTAGACAGAGCAAAGTCACTCAAAGCCTAAATAAAGACTCAAATGGAATTTAAAGTATGAATACAATGTACACTGTTTCTGTTTCACTGTTGATATGCTTTCGATAATGTATTATATCTATTACATTTCTTTTTTAATCACACACTTTATTATGATTGGCATTACCAAAAATTGTGTTTTTATAGTATTTACATTGGACCACAAATGTCAATAGCTATTATTATTATTATAAATATTGTTGATATAAGAATGTTGATACGATAGATGCAAAGCGTATTTTTGTATAGCTGCAGTCAACTGTTTTCTAGTAAAGGTACATACAAAAGAACATATGTAATCCTCTAATGACTGAATTTGGCATATAAAAATCACAGCTATCTACATGTGTTTCCCTACCCAAATACTGTACGTTTTCGGAAACAACTGTCCAAATGTAGAATATGATCTAAAATACAGTTCTATTCAGATCAGAAACCAGTCTGTCCTTCACCTGTTCATCTTCCTCTCTCAGATACACTAACGTTACACCACTGGAGCCTGCCTTAGCACGTGGCTAACAATTTAAGCTACATTCACGAAACAAAGATCATAAAATTACCTCTGTTTTAAATTGAAAGTATCATAATCTACTGTTATTTATTCCTGGGGTCACTCCGAAGGTATTAGTGGAACACGTTGGTACGCGGCCTATTCCTTCCGTGTTCCACAAGAGGCGTCCAGGAACTACAGTTCCGACACAACACAGAGAGCAGTGTATTATGTCATTAGTTTCGAACTGGACGCGTTATATATTTTTTGTAGGTGTTAAATAAATATAAATGTACTCCTGAACTTGTTCGAATTCATAAACATTGGGCAATTACAGATTATACTGAAGTCATAAATGGAATTCCCCATAATAACTCCCCCACCTCTACAGACATAAAAAAGAAAGTATCAACATTTTAGTTCTTTAATTTTTCCAATTTAATATGTATTTTCGATTTGATTTTCTGCAGGCTTTAGGTAAACAAAAGGGGCATGTCTTTATAAGAAAATATTACACTGTACAATTTAACAAACTGAACTTTATATATAAAGTGCTTTGCCAAGTATTATTACTACAATGGACATATAAAAAATACTCCTGTTTTTATTTGATGTTATTGCTTTTTATATTTAATATTATGAAAAATCAGCAGTTTTCAAAAAAGCTGTTTAACATTTCCAAGAGTTGTCAATAAAAGAGAAATCTACTTTTTCATAAAGATAAACTGTACATTTTCTAAGGGAATAAGCGGACAACACAAATGTTGTATATTTGAACAGGATGTGTGCTGGGAGGGTTGCAGCATCGTTGATAGATTGATATTTTAAACATTAGGGAGGCCATGTCTGGATAATGTGCGAGCTCCAGCTGTGGGTAAGAAGTTACAAAGTGTCCTTGTTTTATAACATATGGATATGGTTAAGGATATAGAGAAAGTCAAACTGGTTCAAAGTTACGTTCAGTCTATGGATCTCATTTAACAGCCATTTCTTTATTTTTGACAATGCAATGATTATTAGCTAAGGTTAGAAAAAACTAAAAACAAACATATTATTTAGTAGACCTTTTATGTAGAATGAAATCAGATCAGTCAGCCTTACAGAAAAACAGTATGCTTTAACATCAGATTAGATAAGTGAGTGCCTCATGAGAAGCCCTACAGTTTGTACAAAGGAGAAGTGAAATAAGCCAAATAACAGTTACTTCCTAAAGTGAGCAATATGTTTAAAATATTAGAATCATTTAAAATAAAGTAACTTTGCTTCAGTACTTTTGATTCATACAGCAATAAATGTGTCAGTGAGAAGTGCACAACAATTGTATCAATAGTGCGGATGCATTTGTCTCTGTGACCTTTTAACCCCCAGCAGGGGGCAGTCAAGCTACATAAACATATTTATCTAAAGGTGGGAACTATCTTTAGTTCTAACAAGTTGCTCCCTGTGTTTAAGTGTAACTACTGTAGATAAGAAGAAAAACATTTCAAGTAATAGCAATGTCTCCCGATTGTCCAATCACTTTTCATACATAATCCTTAGAATAAGAGCTATGTCATTTCACCAGTGTTGTCATATATAATGCGCACACACAATGTAATCAATGAGCTCATGGCACAAAGCAAGAAACAACTGTCATCCTCTCAAAATAATAATAAAAAAGGAAGCAGCCGCCTGCAGACTGTCACAGCTGTAGGCAGGGCTCAGACGGCATCGCTCTGAAAGACAAACACCAACATTTTATTACACTGAAATGTAATGATGTAATCCATCATCGTTTACTAACCCCAATCCTCAAGATGTACTCAGTTGCATAATTTACTGGTTAATGAACAATTGGACTTGATTCCAAAAGTATACGTAATCTGGAATTAATTGGATTAATTAATGGATAGAATATGCATTAGGGTTTTCCCAGGACAGGATGTTTTTTTAAATCCTGTCAAATACAATCCTCTTTTTGTATTAAAGCTCGTCAAATTATGTTTTATATTATTGATTTATTCACACAGATTAACTCGACTGGACTCATCATGTGATACTGACCCCTCCACAGCAGTCCCCACACAGACATGCCAGCAGGCCGTTCACCACCTGCACAGCACACAGCGCCATCTGGATCAAACCCATGACCAGCAGCACCGAGAACAAGGAGAGATGCCAGGACACAACGCCAGACGGCTCCAAACACTCCGACCAGATATTTTTGTCTGACAGGTAGTCACTGGAGTGGGAAGGTGAAGAAGAGACAAAATGTTTATTTAAAAGGTTTTAGGAGCTTTTGTTTTTGTTTTACTGTGTGGTAAGAAATCAAATGCTACATTGGGGAAACGGTAAGCATCTTTGATGAAATAATTAATGAAAGAAGTTTGTCATTAGACTGCAACTGGAACTGACCCTTTAACTCTCTTTGGATGGTAAAATGATGTTCACTTTCTTTGATTCATTATTACCCACACACGTTATGTTAAACGTATAGTTTGCTTTAAGAAGAATACTTGTCAAACAGCTTGATACTTAATACTGGCTGTGTGTCTTACCCATTTGAGAAGGGTGTCCCCCAAAACTTTACTGTTTCGGTAATGTTAACCACACATTGAGGTCCTTCGTTAATAGCCACAGCAGAAACTATAACTGAGTAACCAGCCCCTGCAACACCGACAGCTGCAAACAGTATGGAGCTCAGCATCTACACAGAGAGGGAAAGAGATAAGAGAAGTTACTCATATTTGCAATCAATACCGTTCTCGTTTCTAACTCGTGTTACTACAATGGAGTTTTTATTCTTTCACTGTGCAGATAACAGGCTGGGTGAGGGTCACCAACAGAGCATTGACAACACAGAGCTACTGAGGTGTGTGTGTGTGTGTGTGTGTGTGTGTGTGTGTGTGTGTGTGTGTGTGTGTGTGTGTGTGTGTGTGTGTGTGTGTGTGTGTGTGTGTGTGTGTGTGTGTATGTGTGTATGTGTGTGTGTGTATAGGGGTGCTGCTTTCCACACCTTCACATTTTTTAAGTATTGATCAGTCTGTGCCGAAACAATGCCAGCTCTCTGTGATAAAGTCATGTGAAACTCCCATTAGACTAATTTCTTGTTACTGTACTGGACATATATCACAATTACCTTACATCAATTTGTGTTCAATGTGTGTGTGTTTATGCTTTTTGGCATTTATTGCTCAGTAAATCATGGAGGGTGTGTACATAGTGCAATTGGGTTTGTTTTAGAAGTGATGAGACTTATGATGGTGAGAAGTTAAACAGCAGTGAAACATCTCCTCACCGCAAATCTCCGCCCGCAGCTTTCATTGCCACAGCAACCACAGCAATCATTGTTCTTCAGACCCAGAAAGACCAGAGCTGGGAAGATCATCTGTCACACACACACACACACACACACACACACACACACACACACACACACACACACACACACACACACACACACACACACACACACACACACACACACACACACACACACACACACACACACACACACACACACACACACACACACACAACACACACACACACACACACACACACACACACACACACACACACACACACACACACACACACACACACACACACACACACACAGCTATAAAGATGATGTTTAGATAATGCCCATCTGCAGGAGGAAATTAAACTGCTGAATGTCCCGCAATAAACATAGAGATATGAAATACTGTAAAGCTAGTCCTAAACATATTAATGATGCGCCCACTATCAGCATTATCAATTTATTTTTCTAAGGTACAAAATGTTATCCGTTCTTCAATTACAGTATTCTAAATGTGATGGCTATTATCAATTATTCAAGGCACATTTAACTGCAATGAAAATAGTTTTTAGTTGACGCCCAAATACATTTCAATTATATTATCTATAATCTATTTTCACTACTACACAGACATACTGACACTGTCAACAGAAGCCTCACATATCACTCCAGTAGCAATAGATTAAATATCAAAAACTACACAAAAATATTCAGACTTCTGGAAGAATCCAGATTTCAGAGCAGCAGCTGATATCATAGTGGAGATCGTCTACTACACAATGCCAGATTCCCCCAGCGTTTACTCTCAGTGTTGTAACGTTAAAGATACTCACCAGCACTCCAGATCCCAGAATGCCTCCAAAGTACCAGACTTGCTCTGTGATGTGTTCTTTCTCCACAGGTTTCCCCCCAGGGAAGAAGAGCAGGATGTTGCACAGCACACACACAATCGCCAGAGGCATCAGACTGATTCCCAGACACTTGGCAAAGCTGCCTGAACACATTTAGACTCTGATGCTTCAACCTCCTCTACTAGGGAAAACTACTTACTTACTCTCAATACTCCACCTAAACTGGCAGCTTTGTTTTAGACTCTTGTCCAGTCCTCAATAATAGTACTCCAGCAGCTGGCTGAATATTAGGCCTATATTTATCAGCAACTGCAGCTTCCACACACCTTCTAAGAGTGTTTTCTAACACTTCTAAAGCTTAATTGGTTCGTCTGAAAGCTCTGTTCACTTCACTTGATATTTAAAAATGAGCTTGTCTGCCTGACCTGTCCTGTTTCTATTTGGCTGATGCTATGGGTGAGCCTTTATAGCCCACCCTTCCCTCAGTGATTCACTTTTATAGCAGCTGTAATATGGCAGGATCACACACAAACTCGTACAAACACACATGCACGCAAACACACACATTAATGCTGGGTAACACGCCTGTGTGTCTGCACACACTGGCAAAGACACAGTGGTTAATGTTCTACCATGTGTTTGTTTACATGGAGACAGAGAAGGACGTGACAGACAGTTGGTCGATAAGCAGAGGCCTCAACGCTGATCTGCAGCTACCGCAGGTTAGTGAGTAACAAAACAAGACTTCAGAGTTTAGGACGCTCCATTAATCAACTCTAGATAATTACTCATAATGTTTCACGATGTTACAGGTCGACATGTGAGTCAGATGTGTGAAACATAATATGTTGAAACAATGTTCTGCATTTATCACAATAAAACTTCAAAACTGCACTACCTTCCTGGTTATCACTTTTAATCACAGATTATAATTAGTTTGGCTAAGCAAATTGGTCATACAGTTATCATCTTGAGTTAACATTGATTAAATAGACACACATCATAAAATCATTGATTTTGAATGTTTTTGAATTACATTTGCTCTTAGTGCTGTGAAAAAGACAAACACATGCACCAAAATGAGTCATTAATCTGTGAACATTTGAACTAAGTTGGTTTAAACGAATCCTGCCTCTGCTTGCACTGACGAAATCTTATGATATTTACTTTAATTTTTAAGTTAAAAAGAAGAAAAACGGGGTGTTGATGTTATAAAATAATACAAATCTCAGACAAATGGTTTGCCCTTGTCCCGTTGGAATTAAATACAATTTCACATATATTTGTTAAAACTCTCTCAACAAACCTGAATTTAAACAACAGTTTGTAAATATGAGTAGGCCTATAGAGGTTAGTTTCTTCAGAATTGTTGCTATCCAAACTTTGTCCTGTTCTCTGAACTATGGGTAGTCCACTTATTGCACTATGATCCCTCTTGAAGTGTTTTCTTTTTACCTGAAGATGAATGGGAATGTCAGCCTAGAACAGGCTGCAAGATTGAGATTTTAACATTTGAATTAAACTAAAATACACTTCCACATTATTTTCTGCTGAAACTTCAGCATCCATCGATGTATTCTGTCATCACGTTCTCTGCTGCCGACCTAGTTGAGACAGACTCAATGGATACCCGATTAACAGATCAGAAGCCGAAAGTTCAATGCGGTTTAATTTTGTTCAGTAATTGTGCCTTGTTGTTTTCAACAGTCGCTGTTTTTTAAAGCGCGATGGATACCGACTTGTCTTTCTGCTCTCGTCGGTCTCCTGTGGTGTGTTTACACGGCTGCGCGGCGTCCAGCCAGCCGATAGCCTCCAGTTTAGGACTCGGTGAGTGGAAAACAGTTGCCATGGAGATTCAAAATATTTGATGGCAAAATGACAAGCATGTTATTACAAAATCTACTAATAACTTCGAAAAACCGAGAACAAAGCCTGGGATATTCCACAATGAAGTTGCACCATAAAAAGCACAGTCCATAAAAGGCAGAAGTTAGTTAGTGCAGTGAGTTTTGAGCTAACGCAATGCTAGCAAACTAGCTACAAAAGCACAACAAGTGCTGAGAAGGAAAACTTGAGGATCAGAAACAGAACATTTTAAATCAAATCAAATCAAGTTTTATTTATAATCAAGTTATTTTAGACCCTAATAAAGTGCATTATTGGAGTAAAACACTGTGACACTTTTTGAATAAGAAATGTTCTCATTCTTCCAGACCACATAACTACTGTTTTTGATGCAATATCTTATAATAATTTAAATAACCATACAAATCTCCCTGATCTTAATATGACATTTTGAATTGGCTTGTTTTTCCAAACAACTCTATTCAGAGATTATAGCAACAAATCCTAATTTTAAAAGTCTGAAATTGAGGAATGTTTTGGCAGTTTAGCTCGAGACAATAAAATGATTTCTCTAACTCTAAGCGTTTCACCTCTAGCCAATATCATTAATGCAGTAATACATGCAACCTCTTATCTATGTTTTATTCACGATTTTAAAATAGATTCAAGACAGCCAATGGTTCTTGATAATACTCATAGTAAGGTAATACAGATTGGTTTAAAATGACAGCCCGGCATTCACAGGCAATACATTTCATATTCATATTGTTGCTTCCTCAGATGCACAGATGTTCTTATAAAAGGCTCATTCTCTCTTTGCAGATGTTTAATCTTTCCATGTGCCTATGAGATTTAAGATACCAATTTAGATTCGAGCAATTGAATTTGTGCAGCTCACAAACACATTTTTGGAATGAAGGGTTACAAAGTTGGATGCATTGAAAACTTTGAAAATAGAACCCAAACTGTTTGCACTGATAAATAATCGTGCAACATTATTCACACAAAGGTTATGTGTCCAGACATCCTTAAGCGTGGTGGCAATGCAGCAGATGCTGCGGTTGCCATAGCAGCAGCACTGGCGGTAACAGAGCCATGCAGCACTGGACCTGGTGGAGACGCCTTCTGCTTGTTCTACAACGGGGAAACCGGAGAGATCACAGGAATTAACGGCAGGTGGAGAATCTTCTCTCTCCGTTGTTGTCTTTTCATATTACAGAGTGGTTAGCTGAGACTCTCTCTGTGTCCTTCTCAGTGGTCGTTTGCCCAGGGCGCAGAGCTTGGACTTCCTGGAAGGACGTGGTTACACTGCGGGGGCTCCTCCTTCACCTTCTGATGCCCTGAATGTCACAGTACCAGGGGCCCCTGCATGCTGGTGCGATACCGTGCAGCTATTTGGAAGTCACAAGGTTGAACTGTGTGTGTGTATGTCTTCTTGTATCTATCTATGTATAACTATATACAATACACAGGTGGCCAAAAGCCCATTAAATGTAATGCTTTAGATTACATAAACAAGCTAAACCTAAACACTGCAAGTGGAACCACATTGACACACACCACCAACACATCTGGAAGTAAGATTCTTAGTGTGTTTCAGACAGTGGTGTTAAAGGTGAATCAATCTTATCATTGAATGCTGTGGAATTTCCCTTTTCTTCAAACCCTGTTTTAGTAAAAACAGGATTACCTTGGCCATCTAGGGAAGGGTTTCTACATATTATCCACCAAATGTGGGCAAGATTTTAGGAACACAGTTTGAGTTTCACTTCACTAACAAAACAGCTCTGCCTGCTCAGATTTAAAGAAGGGTATTAGACAAATACAAAATGTTTACTACTGTGCGGTTTGTGGCCTCAGCATGTGTTTTGGAAAACTTTACATGTTGTTAGCTAAAATAGAACAGCTCAACCGAGTAGTTAATATCCCTACATTATAAAGTAACCAGTGAAATATCCTCTTATTCGCAATGATGATTCTAATTATTAGATGTTTATTTTCCCGACTGGAAAACCTTTAAAGGAAATGACAAGTTTCTAGTCTCCACATATTTCTTGTGAAAACAATGACTCTCACTTCCTGCTAAGTGAGGTTTCCTGTGAGGTAATAAGCGCGTGTTTCCTCTCCCCATTTCCCTAGCTGTCCTTGCAGGAGGTGCTGAGCGGGGCATCAGAGCTTGCAGAGGTGGGGTTTCCTGTTGCCGAGGTAACAGCTCACCACTGGGCGAAATGGGTGGCTGCTCTGAGAGATGATGGGAAGGAACTAGGCGGAGACCTGCTAATTAATGCTCATGCTCCTAAATGTGGTCAAGTATTCAGAAACCCTAACCTGGCCCAGACCCTGAAGGTAAATCTTTAAACTAAAACAAGCAAAAAACACATGTTAAGGGTCATATGAGGAGCATTAAGCATTTTTCCGAACAATGTAAAGCCCCAGAGAAACCGCAGTTTTTCTTGTCTTTCAGGAAGATGAAGGAAGGGAGGAATACAGGGATGGGCATAGTAGGAAACGCATTAAATGAAGCATATAAAGAATATAAAAAGAGCGAGCCTTTATACCCGGCCAACAACAGAAACATTCACCATTTGAATACAATCATTTCCAGTGTATCCAGGTTATAGTTCAAAGACCTCCCAATTTTTCAACAGGTCAATTTTTTTAATTTGTCTAATATTTTGGTTCATGATTAAATAGTTAAAAATGACCTGCAAGCTAATAACATTTTTATTTTAAGGAGGTTAGCATGTTGACATTAGCATTTAGCTCAGGAGCTTTTTATTATAAATGTTTACCTTTTTGTGTATGGCTTTTAATAAATGCTTTAGTCAGCTAGAGTGAAATGCCATTTATATATAAAAAGTAATTCAAAATATATATATTTTCCTTTTATATTTAAAGTATCCTGAAATATAATTTGATATTTATTTATACTGAAATGCTTTAGAATATTATTTTAAGCATAAATTAGATGTTGTGATGTAACATTATAACTCTTCTTTTAAACAAAGGCAGGTGAGGCGGTACATTTTGTTTCAAAACTTTTTCTCTATCCTGCCCCTTATGTGAATGTGCAAACATAGTTGCATGGGTGTGTGCAGACTAAGTAACATTCATAAAACGAGGTTCAATCTGTAGTTTCCTGTCAGTTTCCCTATATAACTATGTCTGACGCCCACCATTTGGGTGCGTGATGGTCCGCTTGTGTGTCACTATAAAAGCATGCGCTGATCGATGCTCGTCTTTACTACATGAAACACTCACTCTTTAGTAATTCAATAAAGCAGGAACACTGCCAAGCTATGATAACCCCTGCACTCCCTTACACTACCAAACCTTAGGAAAATGAAACAATAGGAGTGACCTCATTAATCGAGGGTTTCCATGGCGTCATAACGGTCATTCCTCAGCAATGACGGGGTGTGTCTTTTTTGTGCTGAAAGCTCACACACACATCATCCTGTTCATTTGCTATCATGGATTGGACTTTTAGAGATAAACAATAGTGCCCGCATATATTTCAAACTGTATACATGCTGCATTACATCATATTTTAACGTTTGTGTTTTATACAGTTTTATTTCATGTGGCTGGATTGAAAAGTTGACTGAATTCATCAACAGGAGCTGGGAGAGCATGGCAAACCAGCTTTTTACCAGGGCAGAGTGGCCCAAGCCATCGTCGATATCATAATCCAAAATGGAGGAGTCATGACACTGGATGATCTCAGCAGCCATGACAGTGAGGTCGTCACCCCTATTAGCACAGAATACAAGGTGATTTCCGCAACAACTTTTCTGTCTATACTTTGACTACTTGGTCAGCAGCATGAATGACTCAATTGTGTGTTCAGGGTGTGCGTCTGTGGGAGCCTCCTCCTAACAGTCAGGGATTGGCTGCCCTGCTGCTACTCAACATCCTGGACAACTTCCGTCTCAAAGGTATATCCTGGCATGCTGACGTGCCATCAATTACTGCCTTATACAAGAGAATCTCAAATATAGATATTATTCTTGTAACATTGGTGATCAAAATGGCGTTTGGCAGTGTTTACTGATGATTTATCTGCTGAAATCAGAATTACCTAGATTTCCAATTCTCTACCATTCTCAAGCGCTAAAGAAAGGGCATCGTCCTGATTTACCAAGATGGGAAATGCACCAAGCAGCTCTCAATACTTAATTATGAGCCAATCCTCACACCCAAATAATGATGATCTGCCCCCCTCACTTCGTGGAAACAATTAAGCATAAGCATGCTCACATTATTACTAATAATAGTCTAGGTTTTATTTGTCTGGGATAGGATGTCCTGCTCTTTATATTTCCCCCCCTACACATTACAATGGAGGAGGTTGTGATTCCATTGATGTGGGTCAAAACATTCAATAATGACACTTATAAAACACTGCAACAAACAATGATCCATTTCAGTGAACTTTTCACAGTCCATGGATTATTTAAAGCTCTTGAGATATTCGCCCTGGTTCACCCGACAAATAGCCAGTGGGATTTTTCTATTGGATTTTGGACTATTGCAAAAAATAAGCTCTGTGGAAAACAAATATTTATGCACTACTTTTTGTTCAGTAAGATACTCTTCACAAATAAAAACACCTTTAATGCTATTGGAAGCCTAATTGCAATAGCTAGCAAAAGCAAGCTTATGTTAGACTACAGTTAATGTTGAACAACGGTTGCATGACCTAAACATCACCACCACTTGGATAATTGTGCTAAATAACATTGCTAACAGGCTTAAAAAAAAAAAGCTTTAGCAGCTTTGACAAGTTTGTACAGATAGTTGATTGGATGGTTGTTGAAGGTTTGCCTCACTGTTGATGTTACAACTACCACAATGTCCAAGATACATTTGTCTGAAGTTGCTATGACATTTTCTTTACTTCTTAAAGAGGATAAAACCAAAAGTCACACAAAAAACAAGTGTCTGTTGATGATATCGTTCGATTTGCACTCATCTGTTGTGTGTGTGTAGCTGCAGGCCACAACAGCTCTGACTACATCCATGTACTGGTGGAGGCTGTGCGCTTGGCACAAACAGATGCTGTGCGTTACCTGGGCGACCCTGACCATGTGACCATCCCTTTGGAAACGTTGCTGGACAAGAGCTACAGCCACCAGCGAGCACAGCGCATACGCATGGACAGGTGTGTGTAAGTGTGTCTGTCTGTTAGTACCAGTGTGTACCAGTCGTTCTCTGTTGACTTTAGATAGGACTGTAGACTTTGACTCCCCCCCCGACCTTAACGTCCATCCCTTCATACCTTGGTCTCTCCTCCACTGTTCTGTTTGCTTGTGCGTGTAGTTTTGTGTGTGTATGTGTGTGTGTGTATTTGTATGTGTGTGTGTGTGTGTGGGTGTGTGTGTGTCTGTATTTATTGGCAACAAAATATATTTACTTGGCAGTATTGTAGACTTTGAACCTTTGGCCTTCATCAGTTCTAAAACAAATAGACAAACACACTTAAAATGTCTTAAAGGGGACCTATCATGCAAAATGCACTTTTGTACGTCTTTTATACATGAATATGTGTCCCCGGTGTTCCAGGGAACTCACCAAGTGTCAGAAAACACAACCCTCTCTATATTCCTCCATACCCAAATCTCTAAAAAAGGGGCTGCAACGGATCTGATAAAAACTGATCCAGATTTGAACACTGTCCTGACGTCAGGACGGTGGCGCTACGGCTATTGGGCCAACTCCACCAATCAGGAGGAGACAGCCACGGCCATTGCCGTTCGAAAGCGCTGGAGACGTTGTAGTACATATGCCAGGCCAGTAGATGGTGCTGTTCTGCCCTTATCTGCCCTTACAAACACAGAGCTAAAAAATGTCAAATTGAGCGAAATGAGGCATGGCTAAAATGCATGATCTGTTTGGTATTTTGCAAAAAAAAAAAGTATAAATATGCCTTATATAGGTATGGTCCTACACTATATTATTCAAATAGCATGATAGGTCCACTTTAAATAACATAATGATATCTTTACACAAACACATACATACATATTATTTTGCTGTGTACAAATACATATCCCAGTCATACACATTTCATAGGTTTAGGATCACCCCAAGTCAACCATTATCATTTGAATAAAGCGTAAAATAAATGTGTATCAGAACCTGATTACCCGCAACTATGTTTACATGTATATTATAAAACAGCTTACTGGTAGAAATCAAGGAAAGGCAGTAAATAAGAGATCATATTCACATGCACTGCAATAACCTGTAAAACCTGTGTTTACATGCTGACAGTCAGATTATTAAGTAAACTCCCTATGACATTTTTAAACCAAGACTGGCTTATGGTTTATAAGTGCTTTATGACGCCTGATGCTGAAGAGTATTTTGTGTCCTGGTCTTAAAATTAGGAATGACATGCTCTGATAAGACAGGTAGTGATAAAGCACACCATTTATTTATTTTTAACTTATAACTTGTGCAGTATACTAAATATACAATTTATGTCAATTTTTGAAAATATATTTACATATCAATACAATTATTTATCTTTCAGTGACTTGATAAAAAGGGTTTCTATAAAGCAGTTTTTGCTGATGCCTTAATGCTACATTTTAACAGCTGGTGTCGGCAGATGAAAACAGCAGCAACATGATTAATCTATGCATGTTTTTAATTGTGTGTATTTTTCTGCAGGGTCATGGAAGAGGTGGAGCCCGGCTTGATGACAGGAAGTGACACAGTCTATTTTTGTGTGATCGACAGCCAGGGCAACGCTTGTTCATTTGTCAACAGCACATACATGGGCTTTGGCAGTGGGCTGGTCCCTAAGGATTGTGGATTCTCACTACAGGTGACTACAGGTCACATAGAATGGATTAGTGTCTTTACTCCTCAATGACAGTAACCAAATATATTTAAGTTGTGGACAAAACAAGACATGTAAGGACATTTTTAGACCACGAAAAACACAAGGAATGAAATAAAATGCATTTTTAAAACATTATGATCCCATTATCACATGGTATTGTTACATTCTCTTACAGACCAAACCTATATGGAGACACATTGCTGTAGTCAATTAATATGTAACAAATGTAATATCCATGGAATACAGAGAAGTAGAATTCATAGTTTGCTTTTAAGAATCACCCTTAAACCTTAAAACTAGATGAGGAACTAGAACAAATTGATGTGTGTCATTAAATGAGATTTCTACGTTATTGCCCACAGAACCGGGGTGCCAGCTTTTCTCTGCATCGTGACCATGTCAACTGTGTCGCTGGAGGGAAGCGGCCGTTTCACACTATAATACCTGCACTTCTCACTGACTCTGCAACCACATCAGAAAAACCAGTCCTCCTCGCTGCGCTGGGGGTGATGGGCGCTTTGATGCAACCGCAAGGACACGTCCAAGTATGATTGAGAATAGACTGGGCTGAATAATGAAATGCAGAACAATATCTATCAGATGAAGTATGGGAAATATGTCCCTGACACGTTTGTTTTTAATCATTTACTTTTAATTGACCGCAAAAGTTGCAATTGATTATTTGTTAGTCACACTAGATCAGAAAGTGGAGAAATCCAAATTTGAGACACTTATGACAAAATCATAATAACCTGAACGTTATAAACAAGTTTAATGTATTTATGAGTTATGATATGATATTGCTCTTCTGTGTTCAGGTATTGCTAAACATGTTGGAGTTTGGGATGAATCCTCAACAGGCTCTAGACGCACCAAGAGTCTATGTACAATATGACCACACAAGTAAGTATACATATGCAAGTCATTGAAATGTTGTGAAAGAAGTCAGTCAGTGTATTCTATGCCTATGTAAAGCCTTAAGTCATATTCAGGTTACATTTTCTGTGTGTAGCTGAGCAGTGGTCTGTTAATCTGGAGGAGGGCGTCGGCCAGGAGGTAGCTGAGGAGCTGAGAAGAAGGGGCCACAAAGTCAACTGGCCAATCACAGGTAACCTTTATGTTACAGTATGTCACTTATGTCACTGCTTCAGAAAGTACACAATACCCATTTTATTCAATCATTCATAAAACACCAATGAAAAATAACCAAACGGGCAAAAAATACCTTTACAAGGAGTAAAGATGACTCACAAATGTAATGTATATGCACATGCATCATGTTGCAGACAGGATTAGTTTGTTCCTTCTTTTCTCTTACCCTGGAATCATCCTAGCTGGTTTAGCTTTTACTCTATGCCTTTTCTTTGTTATAATGGCGTGAACATGGTATGCTTGTTATTACCATTCGATTTTGATCCCCCTACTATCTGCTACCTTTTTAGTTCTGGAAGATCAGCACCCCTGAATTAAATTAAATGTCAAATACTGGGATATTTTGGTTAACAGTGCATAATTGTGATAGATAAACAGATAACAAATGAAACATCAACATTGGCTCATCACATTTTATTTATTTATCTTTTCATTCAAACACACAGGCCACAAACGGTCTCAGTTTGGGCGGGGACAGATCATCACAGTGGGGGATTGGTGGAACCCATCTGTCAATCAAGCTGATCCTCCATCCAGGGTGCTGTGGGCGGGATCTGACCCCAGAGCAGACGGATGTGCTATGGGATACTAAACAGAAGCGACCTTCTCTACTCTGCTCTGTTTATGTAATATTCAGATACTTTGATCACGAAGCTTTCTGAAGGCAAATCCCTGAGAAATGTAGAACAGTAGTTTTAAACATCTTGCAGTAAAATCATCCACAGAAATCTCAAAACTCTTTTCCAACTCAGGTTTATGACATTGTCATAGCACAGCATCGTAGCACAACACATTACAGCTTCATGAATTAGATTATAATTACATCTATAGTTCATTTATGAGCTGATGCACTATTACTACTGAAATATAGATAACCACATTGGAAAACAAATCTTTGTGTAACATATCAGAGATGTCTTTCCTTAACCCTGCCCTTTTTTTTCAATAGATAATTACAAATATAAATTATGGGACGGAGTGGCGCAGTGGGCTGTGCGCTGATCATCAGATCAAGGGTGGCGTTGGGGAACTCCAGTTCGAAACCCGCCACTGCGCCAGGCCGTTGTGTCCTTGGGCAAGACACTTCACCCGAATTTGCTCCTGTGGGTACTGTCCACAGTACAAGACCGTTCCATGTATGATATGTGTGTAATGTGTACTTGTAAATCGCCTTGATGACTTCGAGGTGTGAAGGTGGGCGGAGTGGCGCAGTGGGCTGTGCGTTGATCATCAGATCATGGGGGCGTTGGGGAACACCAGTTCGAAACCCCCCTCCACCGCTGCTGCGTCTGTAAAGCCGTTGTGTCCTTGGGCAAGACACTTCACCTGAATTTGCTCCTGTGGGTATTGTCCACAGTACATGACCGTTACATGTATGATATGTGTGTAATGTGTATTTGTAAAGCGCTTTGAGCATCTGGAAAAGCGCTATATTAAATGTAAGGAATTATTATTATACATTTTTAAATAAAAGACAATGATAATTTTACGTCACCAATAAATGACAGTTCCATCTTTTTTCTCTAGGTGACATTTAACAAAACCTATTGAGTGGAGGAAGTGTACAAATCTGACGTGAACCAAGTCAATCAGTGTTATGTCCTTTTTCATATTGTTCCTACACTTAAAGTGAAGCATATGTACTGATTTAACAGTCTGTATTTCAAATGATCTGTGAAGTATGCTGGATCTATTTAAACAAATGCCAAATTAATTGATGTGTATGTTTAAGCTTTATGATTTAGTAAATGTTTAAGCTGTCAGGAAACGCCCCCTGCTACCCATCTAATTACCAAGCAGACAGGACAAATACAGAGACAGAAACACAGGATACATGATATTACAGGATATGCAGTTGTAGGGGTTATAAGAACATATAAAACAGCTTGCAAACCACTTGTTCTCTGCAGCAGGCAGCTCAAATATGATTCCACTTCAACTAATCTCTTAAAGTAGAAACTTAATGTTGGACTTTGTTTCACTGTTGATCTCCTTATAGCTCCAAACCGCACCTGGTACCAACTGTTTACACCTATAAAGAGCCATGTGTTCAGTCACTCAAACACACTTATGTTATTCTTAATCTGTCTTAATTAACACTGGTTGAAGCAGCTCGTTAGTGGCCGGTCTGAGTTTACAGCGCCGTTTATCTGGATGTGGGACATTCCAGCTGGATTTTGAAGCAGCTCACAACATGCTGGGCCCCTGAAACACACATAATAACACACACAGTGTTAGTAGCTTTCTGACACAGCACTATCAGCAGTCATTTTTTGCCCCACATAGACCTGCTGAGCTGTTCTATCATTCTGACCTAGACTCAGGGGGCCTTGCCAAAGGGGAATATTGAAAATATGTCATTGGATTGGATTGGCACATACAACTAATCTACAATGTTAATGCTACATTTGAAATGTAGAACACAACTATAAATATTCGGCAGTGAAATAATAAAAGACAGAAATTAATGTTATTAATGAATAATTAATTAATTACCCCATAAGTCAGGTTTATGATGTTGTCACATTACAGCATCGTAGCATAACACTTTAGTATCTTTTGATAACGCATCTTGGGTTCAAGCTGTGTTTATAAGCTGCACTACTTAATTTGCACTTAAATATAGAGCAACATATTGGAAAACAAATCTTTGTGTGACATACCGAAGCAAACCTCAACTCTGCCTGTTGGTTGATATAACTATCTGTTTCCATGTCTTTAATTAGTTGTGGCTTGTCAAAAAAATAGACAAAATCTTATTGACAAAATGATCAATTATTGATATTTGTGAGCATTTAGTTACAATTTATAAAAAATATACTGTGCTACATATTATAAATGTGAACATCATGTGGATAAAAGGGGATTTGAAAAAAAAAGCACTGTTGGTATTCTAAGGAAATGAATACTTCAGAATTCTGTGTGACAAAAAGCCTGTGGAACACACACACACACACACACACACACACACACACACACTTCCTACTGTATGAGTGTGTTTCCTAGTGCACATTGTGTCATGGTAGAACCTCCTCTAAGGAAGGAGCATCTGTTCAACACCCCTACACACCACTAACACACACACACACACACACACACACACACACACACACACACACACACACACACACACACACACATACAAATAGCTGGCTTTCGTCACTTCTTCTTTTTGTTTCCTGGCTCCCCAGCTGCTCGGACCCTAACCCTCCCCTCGTTCTCGTGCTCTCCTCAACCCACTCCAGTTCTCTCCTCTCCTCACTGCAGTTGTGTGTGTTTTTGGGTGAGCGATGTGTTGTTCCGTGGGTTTCGCCCGGTCTCTGGGCCTGGCCCTGCTGCCTCTGGCCCTCTGCTGTATCGTGGGCAACCTGCTGCTTCTGTTTCCCATGGGAGAAATCACCTACATCCAGCAGGACCGCCTGGCCAGCTACATCTGGTACTTTGGTGGACTAGGAGGAGGGGGAGCACTGGTGAGTAAACAACTGCCTTTATGTTCTTATATGATGATGAGTATATGTTATATGTTTTGGTATGGTCACATTTTCTTTTATAGAAACTTTTTCAGTTTGGGTCAGATCATCTGGCTTCTTTAGGTCAAAGTTAGTTGTCTGAGTTGTTGGGCGTGTGCTCACTAAACACCAGGTGCTGGTCATGCAGCAGTGACTTATTTTGAAGAAAGATAACCACATAGTAAGGTCCCATTACTTTTACCATTATTAAATGGAGAGCATGGTAATCCTTTCTTTAAAAGCTATACTTTAGTATCATGGGATATACTTTAACAGCATGAGGTCCAAATTTACTTTTAAAATTTGATTTACATTAAGATGTCTCTACCCACTGCAAAAACGGTTTATTTATTCAGTTTTAATGCTAATCAATAATAGAAAGTACTTTGTTTTCTTGGTCTGAGTCAAGATATTTTACCAAACCCTGATTTATCTTCTCAAACTTTTTTTTTTTTCTTTACAAATAAATAATCTGAAGGGATTATTTTGCCGGGTAGAAGAGGTTTAACAATATGGAGAAAGTTTTAACAAAGTTCAACTGGTACCACGTGGTTAAACTCATCACTATTGGTTGCACTGGAAAGAGAAAAATTAACTGAAACTAATAAATGACTAAGTAACTGTTTTTATTGCACTAAAACTAAAAAGAAAGATTCTTTAACAGTATTTCAGCCATGTGACGCGAGAGCTCAGCACCGAAAGTACTTTAAAAAAAGCATCAAAATAAAGCAGCATTCACTGAAAACTAACACTGCTACATGTAGATACACTCTGTACTATGAAGTAGACTGAAGCCTTACTTACTTTACATTCATAATGCTTTTTGTTGCAAGTTGCATTTATCTGTATGCAGGCTAGGCTTTTGACTCATAGAAACACGGGCAATTTTTTAAACAAATGTAAATGATTTCCCCTTCAACACCACTCAGTCTGAGTGTGCCTGCAGTTGAGAACAATGAAGTGTTGTGTGAATTCACAGTTAATCCGTCTGCTACATGCTGCTGATCTGATGGGTTTATGCTCCGACTGAACTGAAAGCAGCTGTTCTTAATTAGTTTTTTTGAAAAAGACAGTCTCTCCTCTGTCCTACCTTAAACCAGATTAACCTCGCTGACCAGACCAGCACTTGTTTTGGGTATATACAGCTTCACTCTTTAAAATATTGTGATTTTTTTTGGTGGTTTGCAGTGGCGTTTTTATATGTACAAAAGTGGTGGGGCACAAAAAACGTAGATGTCTATATATAAGCTTCTGCAGTGACGTGCAGTGAGGTTCATGGCTGGTGAGGCACTGGCACTGACTCTTCAGGTTTACAAATATTATATTTTGACCTAAACCAAAATATAATATTATTTTCAAAAGCTTTTTTTGTCTGATGCTTCGATTAATTTTAAACAGACAGTTCAACAAAAGGATACCCAAAAAATGTCATTTTATCATTTAAATATTGAATTGTTCTCTCTTAGTAAGATCCCATTTTCAATAAAATGGCGGTCTTACCTTGACTTGAAGATGAAGTCCATTTGCCTATCCTTCTGGACAAACATTTCTATTACTTTTTTGTAAAAGTCCTCCTTATCTTCTTGTAGTTTCAAAAGTCTATCATAAATCTAATCCATAGATTTATGATAAAAAAATTATAAAAGTAGGGTAGACATGTGGATGTTATCCGGCTGATCAAAACGTGCATTTATCTAACAGGTACGTTTCCCACAGATCTTATTTCGAGCTATTTTCTAAAATCCTCTGGAGAAATCTCATTGCTTTTTTGTGCTTACTTCCTGGTTTTAGGACGCGCCACTGCAGCTCTCTCGTCTCCTCTTCACACAGCACACTTTTCGCGGCACACGTACTTACAGCCAATCAGCTCTGAATGATTTGAGATGACGTATGGTGGGGATGGTAGCTCCATGCCCCTCTGGTCATTATTTTTTTGCCACACACATTTCATTACAAAATACTCTGAGCATGCGCAGTGTAGTTTTTACAGTCACCGTTGACTTCACAGCGAGAGGAAGGGGCATAATCAGGTTTTGTCCCACATGGCTCTAAACAGCTCAATAGGCACACACTGTGACTGTAGACACACTAATTAGAAGAACACAGACTAAAACAGCAATGTACAGACGAATCAGATGATTAAACATGATCTTAAAATATATTTTATATATTTTTTTATTTTTTTTTTTGCATTTTTGTAATCATTATTTGTAATACTTTCTGCTGACACTAGGTGGGGCTGTGCCCCACCTGCCCCTAATGACCAGTCGCCACTGGTGGTTTGTAAGAAAAAAGAGAGCGCTGATAAACTAGTTTTGCACCTAACTGTGATAGATACCATATCTAAACAACAAACAACTCTAAAAAGAAAGTAGAATGTAAAAAATAAACTATACGCGACCAAGCATTTGTCCTCTACAATACCATATTTAACTTTCTGATGCAGAAGAGGGACAATTTAGTCCTTCTCACTTTAAAAACATTACACTGTATTTAGTTTGTACATGTTCTTTTTGCAATGTTATTAGAAAATAGTATTTCTGCAAGCACTTTTTCCATCCTGTTTTTATGTTTTCCTCTTTGGGCTTTTCCTTTCTTCTTGGAAAAGACAGAACATTTAAAAGTCAAAGAGCAAACTGAACCCCTCTGAGAGAAATCTATCTTCAGCTTCCTCCCTTCCTCTCTCTTGCTCTTCCTCCCTCCTTTTTCCTTGTTTCTCCCTCTTCCTTTCTCACTGTGTGCACTTCCCTCTGTATGTTCAGTATCTCTCTTTGGCCCTTTTCAAAGATAGTGTTTTATAGGGACATCCAGGATGTGTATGTGACGATGCTCATGATCTCTGAGGCCTTGGGAACTTCCCCCCCCTCAGTTGGGACGTGATTTAAAGTCCGTGACCGCTGGGAGAGAGACAACAGCACAGGAAAGAGGAGGAAAGGAAAAAGGGAGGGAGGGAAAGTAAAAGAAAACAACCCTGAAACAAACACACAACACATTTATGTAAAATCTATGTCTAATGCCTTTCTCTCGCAGTAAGGCCCTCCAACTACATAACAATAAATGTGACGAATGCTCTTGTTTGACCACTTATTGTGGCTACTGTCAGAATAATTGTCAATGAATTTATGATAGATGTATGGTCCCAGGAGGGGTAATCCTAAGGATTAGTAACCCCTAGACTTTATATGTAGCTTAAAAACAAACAACAGTCAAATCTCGTTATGCTAACGTAGCATGCTTACCGTCTAAAGCTGTATCCAAAACAACACCAAAACGTTTGCTATGTGCTGTGTAAATAGATTTGAATTTGTAATTGTTTTGGTTTAGGATCTATATTGATCTGGCTTTTGTTGATAGGAAATGCTTCAAGTAAATGCAAAGAATAGCAGGTTTAATAAGACTGAAATATGAGTAGCTAACGTAGCTTTAGCATCTATATATTTAGTCCTACTGTACTACTTTCCTATCTTAAACATATCAATGTATATAATATCCTTTAAAGACTTAAATTAAATACATAATAAATCCTGCTGTTCATAAATGTCTCTCTGTTTTCAGATGCTGGTTCCTGCTGTGGTATTTATCACTCTGGGGAAATGTAACTGCTGCTGGAATGAGAGCTTAATGGTAAGCGACTTACACTCAACACTCAAACACTCAAAATCAAGCCAAGACTTCATTTTATGTTCATTAATTCTACACACAGACCAATATTATCAGATGTTTTCCCCTTTTCTTAAATCGAAATATGAAGATTGTTTGTCTTTCACCCCTTGTGTCTCTTCATAGTGTTCCCCGTTTACTGCTGTTACTTTCTCAGTAAACTGCACAGTTGTCCTTAAGCCAGCCCACACTGTCGCTTTATGAGGTGGAATGCTAATGCTAATCCAGCAGTGATAATTCAACAAGGGTCCCATTGTTTGTCAACATTCAACAAAGTAAACTTGGCTCCCGCCACTCAAGCCACAGGCACAGCTGTGTGTGTGTATGTCACAGTGGCCTCTGTATCTGACCTATGAAACAGCTAAATGAAACAGTTTACATTTTAACAGACAGGCAGGCACACATAAATTGACAAGGGCATCTAAACACATTCACTTTTTAAATCACTGTGTGTTTCTGTGTTCTCACAGATGTGCGGTTCAGTGTTGGCAGCTGTTGTCGGTCTGGTGGGGTCTGGCTACTGTTTCGTCATGTCAGGGTTCGCCTTGGTGCAGGGTCCACAGTGCTTCACCTCGCTTGGATGGTCGTACCCTTTTGCAGACCAGGGCGGCAGGTAGGGAGATACTGCACTGTTTGGGCTGGCATGGGTCTCTTTATTCATTTAGTCTTTAAAAAGTCAAAAGAATTGTGAAAAATCTCTATAAAAAATGTCACTGCTTATGCTCCTCACATTTTAGGGCATTGTTGATTAAAACAAAAATTGACAAATGATTATTCATTATAAGTATTGTCGATTAATCACAAGTCAATCATTTTAGCTCTAATTTGTTTCTAAAGAGTATACATACTGTTGTTGACGCTCTCTTCTCTGTTATCTCAAATAAAATGAACCTCAATTATAAAGGTCATTAATACATTTAAACATACTGTATCTAGGTTAACCCAAGTTCAACACATGTGTGTAAGAACACCAACTGCACCAAACCATAGCAACAACACTTAAACAGAGCTGCTATAATGCTCTGTTTTTAGTTTTGCCTGTGGTTAATGGCCAGGGTACTTCTGCGATATTGGAATACAAGGTGCCCTTATATAGAAACACTGGACTTTGCCTCCACCAGTTTTTATTTTTGCATTCATTAAAAACATTGTGATGTGGCATCGCTTATTTGATGATTTTTTGTATTCATCAGTGTGTTCTGAGAGACAATTCTTCCCCTTGGTATTTCAGCACTCGAAAACGGGTTTATTGCCAGGTAGGTTCACACATACGAGGAATTTGACTTGATGTCATGGTGCATACATAAAATATAAAACAAAAAATCTCCATATAAAACAAAAAATCTTTAAGGACTCTGTAATCAAATATAGTTAGATAGCAAGAAAATAAAGCAGTAATTTACAGCGAAATAGTATGCAGTGAATTATAGAATATGAAATAAGAAATATGTGCAGTAAGCAGTATATGAACATTGTGTGCATTAATGTAATGCATATAGAGTCTACGTTGTGGCTGAGGTAAAGTGTCAGTGGGGGGGCCGGGCCTGGTTTAGGAGGCCGTTAGCGGAGGAGAAGAAACTGCGTACCAGATGGTGATGGAGGAGGTGAGGATAGACTCGATGATGGAGGTGTAGAAGTTCACCATCATCGTCTTTGGCAGGTTGAATTTCTTCAGCTGCCTCAGGAAGAACATCCTCTGCTGGGCTTTTTTGATGAGGGAGTAGATGATCTGCTCCCATTTGAGGTCCTGGGCGATGATGGTGCCCAGGAAGCGGAAAGACTTCACAGCAGTTACTGGGGAGTCACACAGAGTGATGGGGGCGGGTGGGGCTGCATTCTTCCTAAAGTCCACAACCATCTCCACTGTCTTGAGAGAATGTAGTGGAACACACAACATTTAGAAAAATGCAGCTGCTGTCTGTGTTTGATTGTCTACGGATCTCCCTATCTGTGTCCCAGGTATCTCTTACAACCAGAGACGTGGTCACGGTGCCTTCAGCCGGTTCACATCGTAGAGTGGAACGTGACTCTGCTGTTCGTGTTGATGGGCCTGGCTGTGCTGGAGTTCATCATCTGTCTCTGTCAGCTGGGAAACGGTCTAGTCAACGCTGTCTGCAGACCCTGTTGCTACAAGCAGGAGTATAGTCTTAATGCTTAAATCAACAGACAAACACAGATACACCTGTAAGTACTGTAGGCTCTCCTGCTGAGACATAAGTGCACACATAAACAAATCACACACTCTATTGTATGCACACATACAGGACATCAATGGACACAAATGGACACGGCATTCTAGACACTGCCTCATTGCCAAGCATAAGTGTATGTGTGTGAGTACAACTAGGGCTTACTTACACACACACACACACACACACACACACACACACACACACACACACACACACACACACACACACACACACACACACACACACACACACACACACACACACACACACACACACACACACACACACACACACACACACACACACACACACACACACACACACACACACACACACACACACGTAGTATTATGGAAACTGGACACCGTCAATGGAATCACTATGTTATAACCTTTAATTTGCCCTGCTTATTGGCAAAACTCACTATGCAGTCATTGATAATTATGGTCCTCTGGTGCAGCCAGAAAACAGGTTTTAAGACAGATTGTATTAATATACTCTATAGAAACGTAGAGGATGCAATTAACTTTGTTGAAAGAAGACAACAGAACAACATGTACAAATAATGGAGACAAAGTAAAGCAGCGTTGATAATATTTATAATAATATTAGGAATACATAATAGGAGATTTCACTGAAGTAAGTATTGGTGTGTGTGAAGCTTTTTTTTAAAGAAGACAAAGAACTGTCTTTACACTCAACATACAACTGTTTCATTAGCTTATTTCAAGAAATGTATGTTCAGTGTCAACGTTGATTGCTTTCTTAATTATCATTATTTAATGTATTTTATACATTTATAAAACCCAACAACTACACTACTGTTGTTTTGCATAAACAGGTGATACTACAATGGAAGTTATCACTCTATATTCTTAAGATGGCCACCATCTTTGTTTCATGATGTTGGACATGACACGAGATGAGCTCTTGTGTCATTGTTGGGTTGTTGTTGCAAGAAGAGATGCACATTATTTAGTTGTTTATCAGCATGATTAATTTGATGCTTCAGTAAGTGTCCTTTCTGTCCTGTTTGATTCTTGTTCTACAATGTGTTGGATAATTTAGAGATAATGAGCAGATGTTTATTTGTGTGTTTGTACATTTGTTTTTATTTTCAGAGCATTTTGTTGTAAATTGTTTACGTCTTTCAGACGCTAGACCAGTGTTAACAAACATTTTATATATATTTTAGTGACATATTTTTATAATGTATGTTTGTTTGTGCTACCTTGAATAAAAAAATTGCTATTTCCATTTGAAGTTTCGAGTAAGTCATTAAGCTGACCTCTGTTAACAAAAACCGGTTGAAGTGTGTGTGTGTGTGTGTGTGTGTGTGTGTGTGTGTGTGTGTGTGTGTGTGTGTGTGTGTGTGTGTGTGTGTGTGTGTGTGTGTGTGTGTGTGTGTGTGTGTGTGTGTGTGTGTGTGTGTGTGTGTGTGTGTGTGTGTGTGTGTGTGGGTGTGGGTGTGGGTGTGGGTGTGGGTGTGTGTGTCTGTATTTTTTGGCAACAAAATATATTTACTTGGCAGTATTGTAGACTTTGAAACTTTGGCCTTCATCAGTTCTAAAACAAATAGACAAACACACTTAAAATGTCTTAAATAACATAATGATATCTTAACACAAACACATACATACATATTATTTTGCTGTGTACAAATACATATCCCAATCAATGTGAATGCCTGCTTGAATCCCCTGCTGAACTGCTTTCAAACTTTAACATTAAATTAAATGTTTCCATCAACTTATCTGGCGTTCAACCAATGTAACTTTTGTTCCAACTTGTCTCTGACACAAATGAGTCCATGTGTGTTCAGTCCTGGAGTTTCCAGAATTGCTGGGTATTGACCCACATCAGGACTGAAAACTGAGTAAATGTGGCCTGAGACCCCAAGACCCATTACAAAACGTATTTTTAGCAAATTAATCTGAATATTAACATAGTTGATGTTGGAAGAAAAAGTTCCATTTATTTTCACAGCATAAATGAATACAATTACTTAAAAAACATACAAAATCATAAACCAGTCTTCAAAGCCGACTTCACTAAACTGACTTCAGAATCAGATGGAAGTCCTTCAAATGAATGCTAAAGTCATAAACTACTTAGCTTGGCAAATAAAGGTGTGTCTTCTTTTACCTATTCTATGTCACATTTGGACATCATCTTTGACCTGAGGCCCTTTATCATTGGCTTTTCATGACAACACTTGAATTGTTCCATTAAAAAAACGTTCTGTTCTTACACAAGTCACTCTATCTCTGTGACAGGTTGTTTCTAAATGTCAGTGACCCCTCTGCCCTGCTTGGCTGTTCCCAGCAGTCATCACATGGGGTATAAAGACACACAGAGGGGCAAAAGTCCCTCAGACAGACTGACAAACAGCTCTCAGTTGTCTGCACTGTTGTCAATCATTATACTGTATTCCTCATCATTGAACACAAATAATCTTCCTGCAGTTTTGAAGTGGACTTGTAATTGCTGAAGTGCCAGCGCTGCATCTTCAAAATGCATCGGTTGGGATTAAGGGGAGTGTTGCTGCTCTGTTTTGCAGCAGCATGTGTGTCTGGGATGAGGAGAGAGTACTTCCTTAGGATAGAGGAAGTTTCTTGGAACTACGCTCCAACTGGAATGAACATTATTCAAAACCGCACGCTGCAGGAGGATGAGTAAGTACATTCACAGTACACTGCCGTCTTTATGGTGGAGTCAGTCAGTCAGTCAGTCAGTCAGTCAGCGCTAACTGATCCAAATATAGGAAAAGCAAGACTCCTCATTACTTAAAGAGATAATGTAATTTCCAATTTCTCAGTCCCTTAAATATCCATTACATTATCTCACTTAAACTCCATGGATATTTAAGCGTTTACATTTTTCCCACAAACAGTTTACCCCTATTTCAAAAAAAGGTCTAAAACAACATTTTGATTATTTTAATTTTAGATTGTTCACAATTCTGTTATTTGTTATATACTTTTTGTGCAAAAGGCATTTTACTTTACTTTTTACTTTTACTTTTAAAAATTAAAATAAATCTGCCTGTTCAGGCTACTCTTGTTCTATATTTGAATTCTTTATTTGTCCTTCTAATATCTCTGGTCAACATGCTTTAAAACACAAACTGTACTCTCAAATCGACTAGATAGGATACATTCAGAAACACAAATAAATCTACATTTGTATGTAATTAATGAAGAATGTATCAGGTTCATGAAGGCCTCACAAAAATGAACACATTTTTTATGACACACCCTGAATAATCTCAGCAGAATGTTTGTGTCCAAAATATTGTCAAGTCCATTAAGAGTGTACAGATAAAAAAGGTATTTAGTACACACTGTTATCTGGAACATTTGAATATCACTGAGTCATGGTTAATGTTATTAGTGATGTGCTTTTCATCACAAATCACTGGTTTGAATGGCTTGATGAGCAGGTACAAATATATATTTTTAAGCATCTACTTTAGTATTCTTGTGTTTTTTTCAGTTGCTTTAGCCTATTACAGGTTTTTGAGATATTTGAACTGTTATCCATAATGTTCCCCATTCTCTCTCTCTGCAGAGAAGCCTCAGTATTTTTAAAAAAAGGCCCCCAGCGTATCGGCTCCACCTACAAGAAGGCCGTGTATAAGCAGTACACCGACTCCTCCTACAGGACAGAGGTGATAAAGCCAGACTGGCTGGGCTACCTTGGACCTCTGCTAATGTCCGAGGAGGGAGACACTGTCATCGTGCACCTGAAGAACATAGCAACAAGGCCTTACAGCATCCACCCACATGGACTGAACTACAGCAAGGGCAATGAGGGTGAGGAATGAATGAATTATAAGGCAAACTTAATAACAGAAAGATAGATATGTGACCTTGTGAGCTTGTTTCTGTCTCTTCAGGCGCTCTTTACCCCGATGGTACTGGTCCAGAGCTAAAGCGTGACGACTCAGTAACTCCAGGTTCCATAGTAACGTATGAGTGGACCCTCCCAGAGACCCACAGTCCAACACCAGAGGACAGCAATTGCCTGACCAAATTCTACCACTCCCACGTCAGCCCACCAAAAGACATCAGCGCAGGACTGATAGGACCCCTCATCGTCTGTAAGAGAGGTACAGGAACATTTTAACCTTATGGTATCTAGTGGTAAAACTAAGTACATTTACTGCTGCTTAAGTACTATTTTCAGGTATTTGTACTTTTATTTCCCCCTTTTTATTGTCCCTTCTATAGCCACCCAATTTTTTAGGGCCTTTTGTGAACTTTCCCCTTCAGTACATTAATGTATATTGTACCTAAATGTCCTTTTCTCTGTAGGAACTCTGGACTTACATGGAGACAACTCAGGCGACTATCTGTACGCTTTGCTGTTCATGGTGGCAGATGAGAACTTCAGCTGGTACCTTGATGAAAACATCAGGACGCACATTACAAGTCCTGCCAAGGACCTGAAGAATGACGAAGATTTTATTGAGAGCAACAAAATGCATGGTGAGGGTGAACATCCTAGTCTACATACAAATACCCATACCCTTCCATTGAATACCTTTAACTCTGAGTGTGGATTACAGGTATAAACGGTTTTCTGTACGGTAACCTGCCTGGACTGACCATGTGCCAAGGCAACAAGATCCACTGGCATTTGATTGGCTTAGGCAATGAGGTAAATATTGAATACCTTTTATAGGTCTTCCAGTTGCTGTTGCTCAAATTAAGTGCTTTTTAAGGATGCAAGTCAGTTTGACTTAATGTCTTGGTGTTAAGCATCTGGTCTGAACCCAGTTTAAATGTAATTTATCTCCAACAGGTGGACATGCATTCGGTTCATTTCCATGGCCAGATCTTGACCGTGCAGAACCACCACACAGACACAGTCAGTCTTTTCCCCGCCTCCAGCACCACAGCTGAGATGGTAGCTGACAACCCCGGACACTGGCTGCTGGCTTGCAGCGTCAATGACCATTTGACAGGTGGGCTAACTTCCCCCATTCTTATTTTGATTCAAGCAGGATGATCTTCCCACAAATGTATAACTGTGCAGTATTTTCTTTTGTTGTTTTGTTCAGCTGGAATGCAGGCTATATTTGAGATCAAGAAGTGTTTTCCCAACGTCCATAAACCCCAGCCACACGGTGAACTCAGACCCTTCTTCATTGCTGCTGAAGAAGAAATCTGGGATTACGCTCCCATCCCACCAAC